TAAAAGTATAATAAAAAGTAGCCTGTATTTTACACGATGCGTGGCAAAAAAAAAAAAAAAGAAGAAGAAGAAGAAAGAAAAAAATTCGTCTCCTATTAAGTCAAACTTCAGGGAAATTTTGACGAATGAAGGTAGAGGAGGAGGGAAGAAGAAACGTGTGACGTAACACGACGAATTACAAGGGATACCCTGCTCGAGAGCGAGCGATAATGATTGTACGATAACCGGTTGGAAAAGGGGAGCAGGACAGGGTCGGCATTGTCACGACCTGCGCGGACCTTTCGAGAGGCTTGCCTCGATAAAAATATACGACACGGTGGATCCTGAATACGGGCCTGTGTGCGATCCAAAATCGTCTTGGCACGGTGCCGATCCTACCACGGAGCCGGAGTTCATCGATCGTCGCATCATCGATCGCCCATGCCTTTCTGGCTCCCGTGGCGCACGTGAAATTAGTTGTCGCTGCCTCTTTGCCAGATTCTCGGGTTTTTCATTCCACCGTCCCGATCCGTGCACGATTATTTATCTTTATCGTTTTCGAATCGTGAGAATTTCCTGTGATGGAATTCATGGATTCGCGAATTAATTTTCGAACTCGAGGAATCGATTGATTTAAAAGGAGAATTTTTGGTTCAAAAGGATTAGGAAAACGCTTAAGAAACATTTTAAATTGGATTTAAACAAAATTTCACGCGTTGTCACGCGAAACCTTCTACCTTCTTCGTAGACGGGGATGGTATCGTGGCAGGGCCAATCCTCTGCGACCATTTTTCTCTCGTCGTATTTCATTTTTTACCGCTACGAGCGTTATAAAGCAACGAGAGAGAGAGAGAGAAAGAGAGAGAGAGAGAGACACTGTCCGAACGGAGGGAACTCGGGCGAACTTGTAAATCTTCGAGCCGCGTTTCTGCGGTGGATGCATATTTCTTCCGCGGTAGGAGGCTCGATCCACGGCCAACTAGTGCTTACGCGGGCACAAAAGGGGAAGGAGGGAGCTGTGCGCATCCATCGTGTCGGAGATTATCAGTGTAACGTTGTTCTCTCTTTCTCTCGGTGCATAACGCACGCCCGATTTCTTTCAATGCCCTATTTCTGCCTAATTTAGGCTACCCAACGCCCTTTTATTTGCTTCACTTCTTTGATCTTTTGTGCAGCTTGCTCTAAATCTTGAGAAAACTTGTGATCGAGACTCTGAGGTAATTTTTCTCGATGGAACATAGAATGGAATTTATATGGAACTATTAAGAAAAAAACAAGAATTCTGTAAGTTTTAGAGTTTTAGAGTATTAATGTCTATTTCCTGCCGTTATGCGTTATTCTATCTCTTCTATTTTTGTGAAAGAATCCAGAATCACTCGTTACGTACAGGAATTTCATCGTTCATTTATAATAAATACTCTATAGCAAAAAATATTAAGTTATTATGCGTCATAATGTATAAATTATTAATCCGCATATGTAAAACGTATGATTAATTATTTGTGTTGTGAAAATTTTAAATTCTCAGTTCAGGCTAAATTTTAAAAAAATGTTGAAAATTGGTCTTCGACAAATGATTTGAAAATAGAATTAAAAAAATAAGTATTATTTGAGCTAAAAGTTACGAATCATCCTGTACATATATTTTAACCGTTAGCAGAGAGCACGCTAGATGGTTCTAACGGTACGATTTATTCTAGGATAATTAACCGTTCACCGGAATAGCAATCACCTTTGCTTCCTGTACGCATTAAGATTCATTTTTTCCTATGCACCCGTAACGTGTAGTTACCTAACTTCCGAGGTGAACGAGGCCAAACAAGGAAGGATTCCGGAAGTTGGTCGTAAAGAGGCAATGATGTCATTCACACGCCAGAACGGTGATGCGAAATGGCCTATTTTTGGCCAATTTAATGGCCGCTAGAATGCCAATGACGCGTTCTTCCCTTCTTTTTTTCTTTTTTTCCCGCCCCCTCCCCTTCCTTTTTTTTTTCTTCTTTCCATCAAAGTGTCTACCAGCCTTTTCCCTGTCCCTCCTTCGAACTGCAAATAGCCACTCGAACCTTTGAAATATGGTTACAACCCGATCGACCTCGAGAACCTCGAACGTTACGATGTCCGCTCGGAATGAAACCTAGTCTTTATTACCACGATGTCGCACGGTGTCCGCCACGACCCTCCAGAGCAGTTTTATACACGAGAATCAAACTTTTATACGTTTCCCTCTTTCCCCATTCCGTCTTACGCGCGCGTGTATCTTTTTATACACGCTTGATCCATGTTATTTTACATTCTAACTAATAATCGTTTTTTATTATTATTGCTAATAAATTAAAAAAATTTAAGCACTCACTTCCAAAAAACGACGGACACGATCGCTGCCATCAGCAAAAGTACCACCGCGCAGGTGATGATGAGGGCGGTGCTTTGAAGCGATGGATTCGTGTGGTACGACGCATCGATCATCTGGAAAACAAGGAAGATCCTTCGTTAGACGATTCATTGTTCCAATCGCCATCACCGAATATATAATTTATCCGGTTGTTATTCATATTCTAATTTCTAGATTTCGGTGTCCGCGCCTTCCATCAAGGTGAATCCGATTCAATATTGGAAGCGCGTGCACCGACGCAGCGTCGTTCAGATTAATCGATCCGTCCTCGTCACTATCGTTAAAACTTTCAGGAATTCGCGATAAGGAAGAACTTGGTCGAGAGTAATTCTTCGCCAACTTCGCCCGTGTAGACGGATTCGAAAAATCGCTGGCCGCTTTTCAACATCGACTTACGAAAACTTTCGCGACGCGTCCGTTTTGCCCAAAAAGCAAGTAAGGATTAATCGTGTAAAAATGTGAAAAGCAAAGGAGAGAAACGTTTCGTATCACGCTTCGACGCGTGTTTGGCTTGCGCCACGAGGCACGAGGGAAGGGGAAAAAAGAGGCGAGAGAAGAGGTTCATCCCTTCCGTGAAAAGGAAAAGTGATTTTCGCGTGGATAGGGGGGCGAAACTTCCGTCCCATCCCAGGCCTGGCCCATTGTCGCGGATCGATCGATCGACCGAGGCATTGTGAGCGCGAGACTCATTTACCTGAGGCGCGAGACGCGGGTGAAAAGGGAGATGGATTCAAAGGAGGATCGCTTTGGGACTGCCGATTTAACGCGGTATCCGATAAACCGCCGCCCCTCCTTCGCACACACCCCTCCTCCTCCTCCCCATTATCCTCGACTCGTCCATGTTTCGGGGATGCGTTGGCGAGGGGCCAAGCAACCAACGTTACGATCCACGGCCCTTCTACGACCGTGGAAAATTCTATTTTCAATTTCAACGATCGTTTCGCCCAGGACGTTTCGTGGAAAGGAAGTTTCGAGGAAGATGCATAGATAGCCGCGGACCTCTCCAGTTCCAGTTCCCTTCCAGTAGAGACACGCCGTAGTTACACCGCTCGAACTCCTCCTCCAGAAGAGAACGGAGAGATGGTGGAATATCGCGCTACGCTGCTCGAGTTTGGCTGGTGTCCAAGGAAAGCAGTATTTATCAAAGGCTCCCTCGTTGACGAGCGTGTGCGTCTCGATGGAATCGCGCAAGTCGAGCACCAATCCCTTTCGGTCGCGCTAGGAAACGAGTCGGCCACGATTTTCTCTTCCTTCTCGCTCATCGTGGCTCATCGCTCATCATTACGGGGGTTATTAATGGGCGCGAGCTAATGGATTCAGCCGGAGAGCTTAGCAATCCGGAGAGCTAGACGGAGCTTCCTCCTCCACTCTTCCTCCCTACCCTTATTTCTCGACCACTTTC